ATGATTGAATGACAACTTCTCTTATGTTTTTCATTATTTCAAAATACAAAATAAGTTTACAATTAATGAGAAAATGCAATGTATTGTGAATTTTATATTAATTTATACAATAATAAGCGATTTATAGTTTCCCAGTTATATTAAGTTAATTTAAGTAAAATAAAATCAATTAAATTAAACTCAAAAATAGTTTAATAATAAGTTATTACGTTATTATGGGTACTAATTATTAAACTATTTATGCAAAACATGTTTCCAACACAACAGAAGTAAAGAATAATTGATTATTCGGTAAGTGATTGAGTAAATGAATCCGATTCTTCAGTATCGGAATCATTGTCAATAAGATCGGGAACTGTTTGATCGCTGGGATGATTAGATTTGCAACAATTAGTAGTAGAATGAGCCGATTGGGAGGCACTGGTCATCGTAGCTATCATTTGGCTATTGGCGGCAGTTTTATAATGTTTGCAACTATTGTTGGACCGATAGTTGTTGAACCAACGGTGCGATAGAATGTCTTCGGCAGAGAGTCGTTCAGTCGGCTCTATTCTCATTAGGCTTCGGATGAGACACTTGGCGTGTTGTGAGAGAGAGTCGGGAATGACATACGTTCCTCTCCTGATCTTAGAGAAGAGTAGCGATGGGTTCATGTCATGGAAGGGGTAGCGGCCGACAAGCATCGTGTATAACATCACTCCCAACGACCAACAGTCCGCTTGTCTGGCAGAGTACGAGCCAACACTGGTTGACAAGATCTCAGGACTCACATAAGCGGGACAGCCGTGTTTGTCGCTCAACATGTCGTCCTCACTATCATCGAGAACTGCCGCGTCTTCTAATGTCTCCAGTTTTAGTTGAGTTCTGCAATACAATGACAATTCATTTACAACTCATCCAATCGATGGCCGTTTCCTTCATTACCTCTCTTTGTTTGCAAATATAAATTTTCTGAGTTTGAGATCACGTAAAATGATGCCATTTGTATGACAGTCGGCGACAATCGTAACGATTTGATGAAACAAATGAATGGCTTCCGATTCCCGCAATCGCTTTCTGCTCCTCACATAGAGATGGAGGTCACCATACGATCGCGAGAACAACACATATGTCTGCTCTTTGCCCACTAACACCTCTTCCACCGCATTGATCGCTGAGTGCCCATCCATTCTCAGGTGACCCGACAGGAACTGCTGGTAACGCATTGTGGCCACAATCTGTACAATACATGCAATACATTAGTCATATAGTCATCAAATGTGTCACAAATGCATTGATACATACTTTGCAACAGTACTCGCAGTTGGTTTTGGTGTCAATACAACGATACAAACTACTCGTCTCGAACTGAGAGACCAACAAATATCTGTTCCCAAAATAGGCCGGAAGACATACATCGGAGGTTGCATTTGTGGTCAGTATTGGTGGAGTCGGCGGCTGAAGATTGGGACTCAGGTTAGACCAAGACTTGTGGTCGTCGATCGATTGCTTAGGTTTAGGTTTGCTTATAATGAGAAGTGATGGCCTCTCGGGCGCACGTGTGGCCACTGATGCCGCCAATGAGACACTCATTTGCCTGAAGTTGAGTAAT